CAAGCCAGCGCCCCGCCCAGATGGGAAAGCCACCCACGAGACGGGTGGGGTCCGCCTCGCCCCTCGGTCCCGTCCCCGGGGAGGGAAAGATGGCTTCTCAGAAACCTGCCCCCCTCTGCTAGCGCCCCCGCTGTCTCCACCCCACAAAGGGCTGGGGACGCTTCCCCGCCCCCCGAAGTTTGTTTTCCTAAGTTTGTGCGTAAGATTTTTCAAAGTTCTGAGTCAGAGCTTCCCCTAAGATGAGGCCTTTGGGGCATGTGAGAAATGCCAAAATGTGGGTGGGGGAGGGGAGCGTGGGGGTTGGAGGGTTTTTAAGCGCCGGGATTCGGAAGGGGGCTTTTCACCCACTGGGTGAGTACAAGGGCTTCATTGAGGCCGGTCCCAGTTCCGCACCAAGTCTGCCTCAAGCACAAGGTGGTCCCTGGCCCTGGCTGCTGTCAGCACCGACCCTTCCGGTCCCCAGGCAGCCTCGGGGTGCACTGCCTCTCCGGACAAGCCCCTTCAGCTCTCTGGGCCCCCTCCCAAGGCCTATGAAGTGAGCAGTGAGGCTGGGAGCGCCCAGCAGGGGAGCTTAGGAAAAAGGGGTGGTTGGATGGGGAGGGGCACTTAGGTTCTGCCTCCATGGTTCTCCACCAAAGGAAGCGTAGGACCAGGCGGTGGTGCTGCCAGGCTGGGCTGGGCCAGGCCAACGCAGTCTGGCTGCAGAGAAGAGGGCCTGCCCAGGGCTTGGGACTCAGCAGTTCCCCGAGTTCCCCCTGGTATGCAGCCCTTCTTCATGCTTGGGAGGACAGTGTTTGGTAAAACACACGTGGCAAGAGCGGGTTTTTCCCGCCACGCCTGCTTTCCTTGTTCTGGAAAAGGGGAGCTGGGATGCTGGGTGGTGCGCGGGGGGGCGGTGTCAGCCATGCACATCAACGCAGAGACTGATCCCTGCTAGGCGCGTGTGGGCAGAGGTTGAGACAACCCAGACTGGGCAGCCAAGGCTTTGTGGCCTTTTGTCAGAACCGGGTGGACGCCCCCTCACGTCACTACCATCCCATCTGAGGCCCCATGGGCCCACTTCACAGGGAAGCGGGCCCAGAGAGGAGCGGTCACAGACTCAAAGTCACAGAGCTGGGATGTGGAGAAGGTAGGATGTCCATCCTGCCTGCTGGACTCCAGAAATGAAACCTTGGGCTTGGGACCAAATCTTATGGCGTCAGGGGGCTCAGGAAGCAAGGTGGTTCGTCCCTAAACTCTAGGAAGTAGAGGGAGGACGCTGGCCCAGCTGGAGGGCCATCAGGATAGCCTGACTGTCCCTTCCCTCCCAGGGCATGCTGGAGGCCCCTCCCCACAGGAAGGCCGCTGTGTCTGTTCCTCTATGAGCACCAGCAAAGCCAGGCTGAAGCCTCTCCCTGTGGGAGGGGAGTTCCCTAGCCCATGCTCTGGCCTGTCCATTTCAAAAAGCCATCAATAGCCCGGGCGCAGTGGCTTACACCCGTCATCCCAGAACTTGGAGGCCGAGGCGGGCGGATCACTTGAGGTCAGGGGTTCTAGACCAGCCTGGCCAACATGGTGAAATCTTGTCTAAAATATACACACAAAAAATTAGCTGGGCGTGGTGGTGCGCGCCTGTAATCCCATTTGCTTGGGAGGCTGAGGTAGGAGAAACACTTGAACCCAGGAGGCGGAGGTTGCAGTGAGCCCAGATCACGCCACTGCACTCCAGCCTGGGCAACAGGGCAAGACTCTGTCTCAAAACAAACAAACAAATAAACAAAAATATATGTGTGTGTGTGTATAGTGTGTATATACATATATACATCAATATATTAGTTTCTGCAGATAGGAGGGTCCAGAAGGGAGAAGGCTTGTAATGGTGGGCAGTGCATACAGACTTCTGGGTGTTTGGGCAAGCAGATAATTGAGATTATGTTCCCATCAGGAGCCAAAATCCATTCATTCATTCATTCACTTACATATTCATTCAGTATTTATTGAGGACCTGCTATGCATCCGCCCAGAATAAAAAGTCTCCAGTATGTGACTGTGCCATGGCTTCCTGCCTGGTCCAGCCCAGCTTTCCGGGAAGCATCCTTGAAGGATGAACTCTTTCCTTGGGCACCTTCAGGGCAGCCTCTGCTCTGTGTGTGTCAGTGCGAGCTTTGGGGAGGACATGTCCCAGGGAGCAGAGAACTTGGTCTCTGAGGCACCGATGGCAGCTGTTCAGCAGAGAGACCTCAGCATGCCAGGCATACGGTTGCTTCTGCCTCTCAGCATCCCAAGTCTCCGCTAGATGGTTACAAACTGAGGTCTAGAGAGGTTAAGTCAATTGCCCCAAGGCTGCACAGCCAATACGTGGCAAGTGTGGGATGGGAACGCAAACGCATCTAACTCCAGATAAATATACTAATGGCTAACGTGATTTAGCACTTACTATGTGCCACGCGCTGCTTTAGGAACCTTATATATATTCATTCATTTGATTTTCACAACAACCCTGGGAGGAAGATCTGGTTATCCCCATTTTCTAGATGGGACAACTGAAGCACGGAGAGGTTGTAACTTCCTCAGGGTCACACAGCAGTGAAGGTGGGAGTTGAACTTGGGCAGCCTGCTGCCAGAATTCAGCTCTTCCTCACTGCAGTGCTGTATCTTTTTTTTGGTTTGTGGTTGTTGGCTTCTTTTTTTTTTTTTTTTTTTTTAGATGGAGCCTTGCTCTGTCGCCCAGGCTGGAGTGCAGTGGCGTAATCTCGGCTCTCCACCTCCCAGGTTCAAGCGATTCTCCAGCCTCGGCCTCCCGAGTAGCTGGGATTACAGGCACACACCACCAAGCCTGGCTAATTTTTGTATTTTTAGTAGTGACGGGGTTTTACCATGTTGGCCAGGCTGGTCTCGAACTCCTGCCCTCAAGTGATCTGCCCACCTCAGCCTCCCAAAGTGCTGGGATTACAGATAATTGAGATTATGTTCCCATAATCTCAGGGCCACTACACCCGGCCAGTATTGTTGTTTTGAGACAGGGTCTCAACCTGTCACCTAGGCTGGAGTGCAGTGGCACAATTGTGGCTCACTGTGACTTCCACCTCCCAGGCTCAAGTGATCCTCCCACTTCAGCCTCCTGAGTAGCTGGGACTACAGGTGCGTGCCACCATGCCCGGCTAATTTTGTATTTTTTGTTAAAAAATGGGGATTTTGCCATGTTGTCCAGGCTGGTCCCAAACTCCTGTCCTGAAATGATCCACCTGCCTCAGCCTCCCAAAGTGCTGGGATTACAGGCGTGAGCCACAGTGCTTAGCCACTGTGCCACCTTGTGTCCTTTTGTGGACTGGCCTGTTCTGACCAACTTGGTGGCAAGAAGGTTCCTTGTGGAGAGGAGAGCACTGTTAGAAGAACGTCTGTGAAGCATTTGGGGTCTTGAAATCCAGCGGAAGGACAAAGAAATGAGACCTTTTTCACAGTGTTTACAATAGCAGAAAATCGCAAGAGACCTAAATATCCCACAAGAGGGGAAGGGCTGGTGAGGCCGTTTTGGCATCCCCACGAGGGGAAGTGATGCAGCCACTCACGCTGACGTGAGGAAGAAGATGGGAAATAGAGCAGAGGGTTTAGGATGGGGCTGGAGGGACCATCGTTCACTGTGTGTCGCTCACAGCGAGAAGCACTCTACCTGCACCGTCACATTGACTGCTCCATAAAATGGTGAGGTCACGGCAGTCACCAGCGCGATAGCTGGTGTTACTTGACCACTGACTGGGTGCCAGGTGTTGTCGAAGCACTTTAGTATCGCTGTTCCCACTTATAGTGGGGACCCTGAGCCTCACAGAGCTTACAGAACTGGCATGGAAAACCAGAACTGGAATGCAGCTATTTCCAGGAAAGTGGGATATGGTTGGGCAGGTTGTCCACTGCATAACTGCAGAGGACACCAGTCACACTGGAGTCTGTGGGAATGGCACTCCTGAAGTTGTGCAGTGCACAACCTGTGCAACCATATGCAGCATGCCTGGGTGTGTCTGATCACAATCCTAGGCTCTTAATCCATGCCCCATCCAAAACAGAAAATAATATTCATGCACACTGTAAATGGGTTCATGTGATAGCTAGATACATGTGGACATGCAACAAAAAGTATGCAAAGAATTAAACAGATATGCTGGTGTCGTGGGATTTATAGGAGATTTTTTTCCTTTCAAATGTCCTTAGGCCGGGCGAGGTGGCTCATGCCTGTAATCCCAGCACTTTGGGAGGCCAAGGTGGGCGGATCACTTGAGGTCAGGAGTTTGAGACCAGCCAGGCCAACATGGTGAAACCCC